AGCTGTCTGTGCTATTTCTGACTACCCAGACTGTCGAGTCATCTGAGGACTGAGAAAGGGGGGAGGAATTAGCGAGCTCTTCTCTCTCTCTTCTTCCCTTTCTCCCTTTCTACTCTTTTCATCATTGATTTTTTTTTTACATTTTCTTTTCTGGTTGCCTTCCTTCCTCCCTTTTTAAGCTTTTCAACCTCATATTTTCCATCTCCTTTGCTAATATATTTCATGTCCTGCCTTCTTTTCTGCCTCCCTTCACATTCCCTGCTTTGCACTCTTCAACTTCTTCCCTTCCACTCCCTCCTTCCTTCCCACCATATTTTCTTCCTCCCTGTCTTCCTTTCTCCTACCACCCCTCCCTCAATTCTCCTGCCCTCCCCACTCTCTCTCTCTGTCTGCACTCTCAGAGCCATCTGACTCGGCAATGACCGCTTGTGACCTTTAGTTGAATGCAGGAGGAGGAGGAGAAGGAGGCAGATAGACTGAGAGCAGGCAGCGGATGACAAATGAGCTAATTGCTTTAGATTAACCATGGAGTGTCTGCCTGCCTGCCAGGCTTACGGCCTCCTCCTGTCTAGACAACACCACAGAGGGAGGGAAGCGATCAGCAATCTCTCTCATGCAACAATTCTGAGAAGTGAAAATGTTTCTTTAGCATTGCACAAGGAAAATTAAAGGAACTTCAAACGGCTATTTAGAATTGTTCTTCCTTGAAGATAAGGCACTGGGAAGACACAGGTCTGAACCTTGATCTTTCAAAAAGAAAATATGCTGAATTTTAGTGCAACACTGTAAATCCTGCATAATTCAACCTGACACCATTTTTTTTGTTTCAGTCCTGATAAACCAGAAAGCACCACAGACTTTCTGTTTAGTCTCTAAGCTGATGTAAGCTGTGCAATCAGACTCAGGATGAAATGAGAGATGTCAGGCTTTTATTTTGATGATCAGTTTTTACACAAACCATCTTTTTCTGAGATTATCTTTAATATGCTGCAAATTCTTTTTGGCATAATCAAATTCATAAAAACAAAAAATGAAATGTAACTCTCAACTGTTTTAAGTTCAGTCATAAAGTCAAACTTTGACTTCTTCAACTTTTCAGTTTTTTATCACTTTGAAAATATATGCACGTTTTAAAATCGTGCACTAATTTTCAGTGTCTGATCGCTACAATGTTGCAATGAAGCATAGCTAATAGGCCTAGAATAGCAAGACGTGCTGCTGCAGAAGCCTTGAGGCAAATAACAGCAAAACAACTAATGGAGACGAGTTGGAGATGCTTTTATTGCATTAAAATGATTAAAACAATTACACAATACAATTATATATTAGAAGGCATCTGTCATAGATTAAGGAAAGATGGCAGCTATGATAAACTCAAATGGCGTCATTAGAAAAAATATTCCTGCATAAAAGATAAGGGGTCATAAATGAATCCTCTCAGTTATTTTGGTTGCTTGTCTAATCTGGCTGAAGGTTAAGCACCTGCACTGATTCAATTAGTCAGTCAACTGAAGATAATTTGAAACTGGATGAGCCATTTAAGTCATTTTTAATCACCATCACACATGTGACAATTTTTTTAGTAAACTGCAGATTAGAACAAACAGGTGAGCTGAAAATATCGCCTTAACTATTCAAGGATTAAATAAAAATTATTTTGCACAATACAGTTGCACCCCAGATGGCTAATGAATTAGTAAGAGATTTTTTTAGACTCCATTTGTGTGAAATACAATGAAGGTTAGGGGTAGAGAAGTCGTCTTTTGGATCACAGTCCACTGTCCATTATTTAAAGACAAAAAATAAAAGAGTTTGATGAAGTCAACAAGGGTAGCAGTGTCTTTTGAAATTTATCTGGGGCAGAGGGATTTCTTTGACTTATAACCTTAGCAATTGTCAATGCAGCGTGGGCTGAGGCTTAATAAACCCATGAATGCGGTTTTCTGTTTGCATTTGGCACAAATACTCGGCGGTGCACATTTTTGTCTGCCAGGAAGAAATCAAATACACTAAAGCTTGATCATTGTTTGCCTATTTGTTTTATATTTCTTTTCTTGTCTCTTTGAATGCACACATATGAGCATGTAGCTGAGATTTTGGAGCCTCTGCGGTTTGCACAAACCTGCTTTTTGTAGCATACCACAGACACAGTGTTATTATGTATCTTCGCTGGAGCATGTTTTAGCCTCAAGGATGTTTTTCAGTGGTGCATCTGCACAACACATTTGCTTTAAAAATAATTTTGGCATACCAAAAAGGCTTCTGCGATTGAAAGAGAAGAGAAATAAGGATGAAGAATAAGATGACAGAGAGAAAAGAGAAGAAGAGGGAATGGGGAAAATGAGGTGGAATGGCTGCGCATTTTAAATCTCCACAGGGTGGGGGAAAAACATGCCCTAAATTCTGCAAAAAATAAAATAAAATCTCTCTGCAAAATTATGCACCTTAAAATGAGCGGCATAAGTGGATTAAAACACAGTTAGCATGCAGAATGGAAGGAGTGAGCTAAACGCAGCATTATTGACACTGGAGAGAAAAGAGAGAATCAAAATAAGAGCAGAAAAGAAAGGGAAGGGAGGAGAGCTGCTGGCCGACCTGCTGGCCTCGCAGTTTTGGGAGCTCTGTGTTCAGGGGAACTGACAGAGTATGTGTTTATAGCAATAGTAGGAATTTTTTATTGAATGATGACGCATCAATTTGCAAAAGCCGAAAGGAAACAGGATAACAAACATTAAAACGTCAGCGAACGGCACTCCAGAGTGGCTCAAACTTGTGCCTGTAAATGCAGCTTTCAAACATTCGGTCCACGGGCCAGAACCCCTGGTGTGTCGATGCCAAAATATTACAAGGGTGTGGAAATATCTGGAAGCTTAAAAGTATTTTTTTTTTTTATCTCTACAAGTTGTCTAAATAGTAAAAAAGTAAAAAAAAACAAAAAAACAAATCTGTAGTTCCAAAATACTTGTAGATCTACTTTAATCTATCACTTATAGTCTGCTCTTCATGTGTTTTGTAAAGAATGGTTTAATAAATGTGGTTTTACTTATTTAGACTAAAAGCAACGGAGAAGGTGGACATGTTTACTTCTTATTATTAATATTGTTAATTTAATATGCATGGGTTTTGCTGTTGGGGCCCACTTTACATCAGATTTGGCTATATATGTACTTTTACCAAAATGAGTCAAACAAGCCTAGTGTCACTACAAAGCTATAAATATGTCAATAGAAGTGCTATAAATATAATATTAAGATGACCAGTTTTGAGATATCCAGTAGGAAGCAAACAACTAAATTAGCACATAAAAAAAGGTGTGTAAGTGCCAGAATGCAACAGTATGGCTTTATGTGCTAAATCCACTTTTAATTTTTGAACAATGTTGCCATGAAATGTTCAAACCTCGGACAGAAAGGAGAAAAAAAAGGACTGAAAGGAAGGACGGAAAGATATCAAAGGGAGAAATTAAGGGACGTACTGTAGCAGACATGGGAGGAAAGGAACACAGACACCCACATGAGCAAACATAAACAGACTAAAATTATTATCTGTAAACAGTCACATTGCCTGTTAAAGCGAACTGTTGTTATTGTCAAAGGCAAAAAAGGAACAGAGAGGCACTTAAACATACAGCGATGCCAGTCTCGCCATCTGTGTGAAGCCACCCAGACTGTGTGTGTGTGTGTGTGTGTGTGTGTGCGTGTCTGTGGGCTCACTGCCTGCTGACAGCTTGTTCTTTCAGCTGGTGCTAAACTCCCACAACTTTTCCTTCCCTCCCTTTCCTTTCCCTTCGCAACATACCGTACACAGCACAGTGGCCTCTTTGGTAACTATAAACCTTCCAAGCCGTCTTTTCTGCATTCACAACGTCAACAGGAACTCTGACGTTATGTAACAGGGCTGCATGGTAGTGCAGTGGTTAGCAATGTCACCTCATACCAAGAACGATCCTGGGTTCGGACCAACCTGGCTTTCCGAGTTCACCCTGTGGATGTGTGGGTTACATCCAGGTGCTCTGGTTTCTGCCCAAAGAACTTAGAGACAGAGAGAAGATGCAGACGTGACAGTAGCTGATCTTCTGTGATGGACCGAAAAACCACGACTGTACATGTGGGTCCAATCCACTTGAATCCACTTATGTAATTAGGCCCCACAACCCCTGACATTGGCTGGTAATTTAAAAAAAAAAATTATTATAACATTTTCCAAGTAATATGAGGGAAAAGGGGCTTCATTAGTGTGAGGTTAAATATTCTCATGGTTTGCCTTTTGCTTAGTTTTCTTAGCATTTTGGATAAAAGTGTTATTTTGTGGGAGACAACATATTGGGCTTTGTCCTGGAGGGATGGTGTTGCCTTACAGCTAAATTTAGGTCTGGATATTTATGGACGGTGACACAATTTTCCATATTTTGCATCTGTACACCAGCAAAAATAGATTTGAGAGTCAAAGAGGGATGAATTACAACATTTGCAGGGAATCATTTCATACACGATCTCTTCATATAATATTTAAAAAGCTGCGCTCTTGTTCTTGACCCCTGCCGCACCATACCGTGCCATGACAGACCATACCAGACCACAACGATCCTTTCAATGATGAAGCAGTCAGTACTAACTATTGTATTCTGCTTGTAAGAGTTTAATTGCCTCAGTGTTTGAATGTCCTAATGAGCAGAGAAGTTCAAACTTCAAACTCAACTCCCCCTCCCTTCTCCATGTCTCTCTCTCTATCTCATCATTATTCTCTCCATCCCACTGACCCATCTGTCTCCTCTCCCAGACGCTCCCACCACTCCCCCTCTTTTTCTCTCCCCTCTCCCTCTGTCTCTTTCTCTGCCTCCCCTCCTCCCTCACACTGACCCCTTTTGTTCACAGCTATTGGGTTTTGGTGGCGAGGGAGGGCAGAAGAAAGGGTCTGGTCAGCTGTTTCCTCGATATGTGCGCCTGTGTGTGTCTGGACAGTGTGGGAATGTGTGTGAGAAAAAGTTGCAGACAAAGCTTACTCCAGGCTCAGAGTGTGTGTGACGGCCGGTGAGGACACACATGGTGTTGGAGCATCCACGGGATATGAAGCTTGGAAAGTTTTGTTTTACTTTCTTTTATTTTTGTTGTTTTGGTTTAGCGTTGGTTTCTTCCTTTTCCCTCAGTAGCAGATCTTCGGGATCTGTCCTCTGGAAATCAACCTTTTTTTTTGTGAGGCTTGTTGAGTGACGAGACTATGCAACCTTCATCACAGAGTCACAACCATGACAACTGTGTTCAGACACAGTTGTGCGGTGAGTTTCTTATCTGAGATGAAAAGATGGATGTTATCAGATTCCTTTGTATGCACTAGAGTCTGATTTATTTTTAAGCAAGCACGCTTTAGTCTTTAAGTTCATTTTTCCTTTTAAATGCATGCGAATCAGCATATTTTCAGATAGTTGTAGATAGTTACATATGTATATATCTAAATTGTCAATTAAAGTTTTTCTTACATGTGGGAGTTTGCAGGTTTACTATGTGCGTCACTGCATATTAAAAATCTTGGAAATTTGGACAGTTGGTCAAGTGAAATGGCATTTAAATGCATCATCTCAGCCAACTTTGGGTTATCTTGTTGTGGAAATCCTTTTAATCCCAGGAAGTCTGCAGCTGCAAGTCTTACAGAAGTTTGTCCTAAGTGGTCTTCTGACCACGTTCCCTGAAGTTCTTTGGGGTCCTCTTGTGTATATAGACCAGCGGTCCCCAACCCATGGGCCTCGGACCAGTACCGGTCCGTGAGTCGTTTGGTGCCGGGCCGATAGTTGAGGCTCAGGTGTGAAATGTATGGTTTTCAGGGTTTTTTATCGGTTTTCAGCATTATTTTGTTATCGTTTTTATCGTTAACTCGGTTTTCCTGGGTCTTTTCAGGTGTGTTATGAATAAATCTTCTTTTTTTTCGGTACCGGTACTAGTTTCATTTTGTTGTATTTATCCGCCACACCTTAAGCCCGGTCCGTGAAAATAATGTCGGGCATAAACCAGTCCGTGGCGCAAAAAAGGTTGGGGACCACTGATATAGACCATACGTGCTAAGCATAAGTGCCTAACAGAAGGGGAAGAATGATGCTTTTAATCATGGTTAAAATAAAATGTTCGATTTGTTTTGTTAAAAAACTGGTGCTTAGTTCCCAGAAACTAGTATATGTTTTAACTTTGGCTGTTCACTTCTATTGATTCTTTAAAACTCTGCTTCTCTATCAAACAGTTCTGCGCATCTCTGAAACTTTCTTTTTTTGCTTTAATATGTCAGTGTAGCCTGTGAGCTAATATAAATAAATGTGATAAAAAGTAATACGTGAATGAATCCAGCGATACAGGAGTCATCTGACTCTATACTTCTTCATCTTCTGTGATGGTTTACTGGTAAGAGGAACTCAAGACTGTGAGAACCGGTGTGGACTGTGAGAGAAACAGAATGCAGTGTGTGTGGGCAGGGGGTGTGCGGGGGAGGGTTGGTTTGTTGTCTGCTAGTTACTTTATGCTCTTGTGTCTGACTTGGCCCTGACCTCTGCCTGCTCCCTGTGAAAAAAACAAAACAAAAACAAAGTGTGAGAAAAAAGCCTCCATTTCTGTGTGTGTGGATAATGGCAGTGCTGATGATGGGGGAGGTGGAGCAGGGTTAAGGGGTATTTAAAGCAGGCTGTCTCTCAACAAAGGTGGCCCTGTCTGTCAGCCTGGCCTCGGCTGGCTGTGTGTGTGTGTGTGTGTGTGTGTGTGTGTGTGTGTGTGTGTGTGTGTGTGTGTGTGTGTGTGTGTGTGTGTGTGAAACACCCTGACCTGACATGAGGACTATATCTTTCTCTGTTTTTTCTTCTAATAACATCAATTATACCAGCCTGCTTTAAATGTGTGTTTTTGTATTTGTTGAAGTCATTTTTAACCACGAATGTGATGAAGCACTCCAAGTAGTACTAAAAAACCAAAAAAGATGATGAACTCATATATTTTACACAGTAATTATTGGGTATATGTTGCAATACTGTTTTATGTACTTTAGCTCTCTCCATGTTGTTTGACCTCAACTACCAACATCCCCAATGATTAAATGGACAATACTATTTTTCAAATCCAGCCATGAGTTATTTTGTTATTATTATCATTAGTATTTCAGTTGAATAACTAAATCAGGATGTACAACAGTGTTTTGTTTCTGTGAAAGCCCTGAACTTTTGAAATGTGTATTTTTTGTTGCTTGGAATGAAACTAGAGAGCCGTGATCTGTTATTGCCCTAAAACGTAATAAGAGGATGGTGATTATGTTATCTGAGGCAACTATACAGGGGATGAGGCCTTTGGCCATCTAAAAAGTCTCTGACAATGATTGAATTTTCCAATAAATAAATAAATAGAAATATTAGATCTTCAAATATAATGCAAAATAGGCAGATGTCATCATACACTTTTCATGTCCTTGCAAGGCCTGACCTAACGGTGTTAATGCGACTGTACCATCATCAGGGTTATTGTACAAAGAGCCACAGAGGACTGTTTTCTGCTTTCTTGAGACTCGTACTTATGTCAGTCTTTGTTTCTCTGTCATTGCAGCCCAGCTGGAGTTCGTCCAGATTCTGGTGATCGTAATAGTCATGATGGTGATGGTGGTGGTCATCACCTGTCTTCTCAACCACTACCGCCTATCAGCACGCTCCCTTCTCTCCAGGCACACCCCTACACGCAGGAGACACCTGCCACTGGCCAACGTAAGTCAGACTTATGCCAGGACTGCATGATGATGTGTTGCCCAAGCTATGCACTTACAGTAGCTCATTCATTATGTGTGCAAGACTTTTTATTCAGTTGGGTTTACATACATGTTGCTGCTAAAAAGGTAACACAGTTCTGACACACCGAGCAAAGAAGAGAAAATGTATTTTAAGGCCTGTAGTTCACTGTTTTCTTTCATTTCAAAGAAATTCATTTTATTCAACCTCAATACACCAAAATGTGCACTTGTATCCAGACTATAGAATAGAATAGAATAGAATAGAATAGCCCTTTATTGTCATTGTACATGTACAATGAAATTATGGGTGCTTTGTGCAGGAATTAAATATAAATGATAAGACAGGAGGAATAAATAACAAGCAGGAGAAACATTTACAAAACAGTAGAAAGGCAGACATTGGAGAACAAAGTGCTTGAAAGTAGTGCAAAGGGCTCGGTCAGAGTATAGAGTCCATGTGTGAGTCGCCTGAGTGATGAGAGTTACTCAGACCATGGCTCAGATTGGTGAGATGAGTGACAACTTTGCTTACCTACTGCATCACTACACCGCTCATTTTTCCATAGTGCCTTTACATAGCCCTTGGAGGCTCTTAGGGTCGATTTGTGGCTTTTTCAAATTTCGATTACATGCCATTTGCACAGTGTTGAATGGAATATAGCGAAAGTCTGCAAAAAAAAGTTCGGTCACATTTACTGTTAAAATTTCAGTATGACTTCCGGAAATTAGCTTCAGTGGCTAAGCTAGCGATAAACTTACGCTATCGGACCTAGTGGTCGATTTGTGCCCCATTGAAACCCATTATAAACGCTATTTTTCACGGCAAAAAAATTACGGTCAAATCGATCGTGATCAGTAATGCTTCCGCTTCCGCTTGCAGTACTGGCCTTAGAGTTGTAATTTTTTTATTTGTCCACCGGGTGGCGCCCTTGCTCCACATGTGACGCCTGCTGGAACATACACATGTTCTCCAGCGGCCTGCTCGAGACAGATACCTGAAGGAAATTGCCGTCCCGGGTTTCCTCCGTGGCGTGAGCGATAAGCAGAGTTCTGTCCTTTCCTTCTAAGATTCCTAATTATTTAAAGTAACACTCAGGTATGCCATTCAGCTGGGTTAGTTACGACGTCGGGAGCAGCTTGGGAGAACAAGGAAACACAGACTGCTTCAGGTTGTCTTCCCAAATCGACTCAAAGGTTTATTTGATACACAGCAGTTTATATAGAGGAAAAAAGGTTCGTGTGTCAGCTTTCCCAGTTCAAACCGGTACAGACTAAATAAGGAAACGTCTTCCTGCCTTCTGAGCAAAGTATCCCTTGTGTAGTTTATCAGTTCAGCTATAATTTATGATCATCCCAGCAAAATACACTCCTAGACATAAAATACAGAGTTCTTTCATTAGTGAATTCTGAAACAAACCACCTAGCCTTTAACGAGCCTTTTCCAGGAGATAAAGAAAAAGGGAGGATGGGAGTAAGGAAGTGGTCTCGTCTCTGTGGTATTTTCGACCTTGGGGTACCAGCCTGTGAGTCTTACACATTAATTCTTGGGTCACAGAGAAAGAGAAAAACAACTAGTAGATGGGCCTTATTGAGTAACTCTTTTCTGTATAATATCACAATAAAACAATATCCTGTAAATGCTACTATGGTATCAAAATATCACAACAATACCCGGAAAAGGCAGACTAATTTCCCGCGTACAGCAGCAGCTTGGCCCGCTGCTCGTTCCGGACCATTTTCTGACCTTAGGATCATTTGAGGGTGCATTAATTTTTTTTAATCAACAGGAAATGACGTATTTGTTTTCACGTGGTAGTGGAAGTGTGTGCTGCAGACACGGGAACCGAACCATATGCTCCGGCGCTGCGCGAAACACACCCGCGGCAGAGGCACTCCTCCCCGGGGGAGCAGGAGCAGCAGCGCCGCCTGGGGACATTTTTGGCTTCTGGAAAAAAAATTAAAACCGGATCGAAATTAATGTTCGTGCCAATCTTTTGTCCATCTAAAGGCCTAATTATAATAACAATAAAATATTACTTCAAATGTTTTTTTTGGAAAATATTTTATGTTTTATGTTTTATGTTTTTGGGGCAAAAAAAGCTCATGTGACGAAACCGGGATATAAAGGGTTAAAATCCGCGAAATGCAATTAAAACTTGACATGAATATTTCAAGGAGAAGTAGGTCTAAAAGATTGGCTAATTTAAAGTGGAATAAAATATTAATATATAAATTTTTTATAGCACTTTTTGGGCGTGGTCGATAGTGTGCATTTTATGAAATGCGCTCCTGGAAAAAAAATAAAAGGCGATCGAAATGACTCTTGGTGCCAATCTTTAGTCCATCTAAAGGCCTAATTATAATAACAATTGAATATTACCTCAAATGTTTTTTTTTGGAAAATATTCAAGTTTTTTGTTTTTTGGGGCAAAAAAAGCAGTGCGCTCATGTGACGAAACCGGGATATAAAGGGTTAAAATCCGCGAAATGTAATTAAAACTTGACATGAATATTTCAAGGAGAAGTAGGTCTAAAAGATTGGCTAATTTAAAGTGGAAAAAAATATTAATATATAAATTTTTTATAGCACTTTTTTGGGCATGGTCGATTTGTGGCTCTAAGACCGATAGTGTATGCATTTTTCTAAGATCCTCCAGTTATTAAGGGCCATGGCGACTTGCCGATGTCTATTTGAAGAACACGCACCGACTTACACCTGAGGCTTCCTCAAACATATGACTTCACTAGTGCTGCCTGAATCACCTTCCACTGAATCACTGTCTGTGTGTGTATCTGTGTGGCTTCAGTTTCAGTTTAAAATATGAGTAAAGAATGAAGCACAAACATGCACATACACACACATAGAGCTCCTTATAAGCTCAGGGGAGTCATAGTGTCCTAGTTAATTTGGATTAGCAAACAGACATGGTGACACACATGCAGCCAGACAAGCAGGCAAGAAAACTGTCACCAGAGAGAGTATATTTTTTTTTTTTTTACAAAAGTTGGAAAAGTTCCTCTCAGACTTTTTTTTAAAGAAGCAAAGAACTACTTTTGTCTTCTCCTCACTACAAGCGGTGACACTGAAGGCATCGAGACACCCTCTAAACATCAGCTTGAGCTCAAAGTATTGTTCAATCCATTATAGATTCATGTACACTCTTAATTTCAACGTTTTAAGTCATACTTGTGTTGGGCAATGTTGTACCAAACTATATGTGCTGCTGATTTTAAATGAGCACAGAAAATTTTTTTACTTTGTTAACTGAATGTGAAGCTTACAGTGTCAAATTATGCACATACATTACACAATACAGCTCATATATTAACTGTAGGAAAAGGTCAAACACAGGTAAAAGGTACAACGTTTTACTGGAGAAGACAGTATTAGGCAGTATAACCTAGATTTAAAAATACTTTAATAGCAGGGATCATAGTTAGCTTCACACTTTTGCACAGACAGGTTTATATAAACAGAGTCCTCTAATAAATAACACGCACTCATCCATCCGTCCATCCAGTAAAGTTTGAGCAAACAATAAGAAGTGTATCAGTACCAAGTCTCATGTTCTATGTTTGGGAAAAGGCGATCGCAGTGGAAAGTCTTTGTGACAGTGTTTAAAACAAGAACTAATATATGACAGGAAGTTACAACCACTCATCTCTAAAAATTACACAGCGGTGTTGAAATCATTATTAGCAGCAGTGTATATTCCCGTTCTAGTATCTATGTCTTAACCAGCTCAATTTTATTGAAATTTGAACTATTACAAATCAGAGGAATAAATTATACTTTTAAATAGTGCTAAATGTGGTTTGAGGTCAGCCAGCAGATGAGTGGCTAATGCGCCAACCACAAGACCTGCTTCCCTGCCTACTGAGTGTTTACACCATGCAGACATTCTCATGCTCTTCTTCTCCACATTTTCTTTTGCTTACTGCTGTTCTTTGCTAATAGAGATGCAAACTGCGAAAAAATTAAAGAATTATTTTTATTATTTAATTACATAAATTGACTTTTTTGCACACAGGAGGGAAGTCTGTGGTCCTCTGAGGGAACAGGCACAAACAGTGGTCTAAATGAGGTGAGTGCTGCTTCAACCAGTGGTGGTCTTCGAGTTTGATTTAGTACAAAATTCATTTAAACCAACATTAGTTAGAGGCACAGCAGTAATTAAATATCTCTCCTCACACAGCACCAGGTGTATAACACCCACCCCCCGGAGAGAGGGGGCTCTTCCTATATACAGCGGGAAGTACAGCACAGCCACTCCCAGCCTCCGCTGCAGCCCCAGCGCTTCCAGCACACATACGCCCCGAGTCGCTTTCAGCCAACTTATCCCTACCTGCCTCAGAGCCTCATCGATCTTCCCCCCACCATCTCCCTCTCAGATGGAGAGGAGCCCCCGCCGTACCAGGGGCCCTGCACCCTGCAGCTCAGAGACCCCGAGCAGCAGATGGAGCTGAACCGCGAGTCGGTCAGAGCGCCACCCAACCGAACAGTATTCGACTCCCACCCTCTCGATCCATCCAACTCCTGTCTGCAGGCCAGGTAACAATGAGCAAGTCTGTGGTCCGTTATTGTGTTTTGGATCACTCACTTGTCGTTGTGTTGACTAATTCCTGTGTTAAGGATTTTTATCAGAGACTTATCCAGCTTATAAAAGGCATCATAGAAATGTTTATGTTCTTTGTACCAACTTTGTACTAACTGTGACTAGATGTACTGCACAGTAAAGGAGAAAGAGACTAAGAGCTTTAGACATCCTCTCTTCACAGCCTAATGTTTAATTATGTTTCATTTTCTGTAATTATGATGCATCATAAGGTTTTAAATGCAGAAATTTGATTAGCTGAAAACCTACAACAAATCATTTTTTATCTGCCATCATCTTGTCTTCATCAGTGTTATTTATTCATTCATTTATTTTGCTCTCAGACTGCAGGCCCCCCCTCCAAGTGTCCATTCAGGCATCAGTGTGTTGGAAGCCCAGGAGGCTTTGTCCAGGCATCAGAAGCAGGGCTCTCGAGTGGAAGGAGCTCCTCCAGCCTACAGCGAGGTGATTGGGCACTACTACCACCCAACATCTGTAACCTCCAGCCATAACAATCGGACTGTGATATCCTCACAAGCACCACCTGCCTCGCTCATACAAGGCCTGCTCCGACCTCCGCATCAACAGCAAGGAAGTGTGGACAACAGGAACACAAGGAATACAAAGGAGAAATCCCAGAAACCCCAGCAGGTGTGACAGTGCTGCTCTCTGCTTCCAGTGAGAAAACCGGGATTACATCTGCTCACCACTGGAGTAATGACCAGTGGAGAATGATGAAAAGTCACGAAGTTGTTAAAATCCACTCTGAAGGGTTTAAGAGCTGGTTAGTTTTAGTTGTTGCAGGTCAGTTTTGCAGTTTCCCCACTGGCTTCTCTGGGTAAGATAACCCAGAACCACATTGCTCCTGCAGAGCACAGTCGCATGAACATCTGGCACATCCTGTTCTGCAGCTTCCTACTTCATGTCTTCTGATGAACCATTGATGTCAGAAAAGAGCGGAAGATTTAGAAGGGAATGAGATGGAAGCAGATGATTCTTTCCCTTAACAAGTCCTCCTCATCTCTCTTCTGTCAGACTGATGTGCGTAATCACCTTTCACAATGAATATTTACTTGGTCTGTTTTTTCCGTTGAACTTTTTCTTTATCTTATTCACACATCCATGAAAATTCCTATCCAAGCAAATGGCGAAATGTTACAATCTTTTTGGTTCTTCCATTTGTAGGATTTCTTTTTTTTAAATGTGATAATCCCCCACCACCACGCTGCTTCTGTCCATTTAGTCCATATTCAAAACTCCACTTCTGCACCAGGCTTTAGCCACATCGCTGGGACATTTTAGCACACTCGCTTATTCCGCGAGTTGTAGCACAAGGCTAAAAGTTCTGCCTTACATTTCCTAAGCGATGCAGGAGTTGCCACTGAAATGGTTGTTTCTTTTTTTTCCTTTTTAAAAAAAATGTATGTTCTTTTTTTTAAAGAACGCTTGCACAAAGTTCAAGACTGTTCACCGGAAAAAAGAATAATCCGCAATATGATCGAAAAGAGACAGAAAGTAGGGAAAGTTTGGGTATTTTTCTATACTTGATGGATTCCTATGAGTACATTTTTTGTGTTGCTTTTGTTTAGTGTTTTTTTTTTTTTTATTTGTTGTCTAGTTTTAGAAAAAAAAGATACAAACATCAGTAATCGGTTGGGGTGCCAACTTTTCACCTTTTGCAACGTACATGTTGACGTGTATATACGTCACACATGGAGCATATATACAGACACATGTATGCAAACCTAGAGTGAAAAGCACGAATTTAAAGTTATTTATATAATTGCTGAAAAGAATTGCACTATTTTTTAGTATGCGCCAATGGAACGTTTTTGGGACTTTTATTTTGAAGGAACTCTGTCTATTGCGGCATAAAAACAAGAGAGAAGCAAGAACATGGTGAGTGAGGCTCAGACCGAGCGGTGCACAGCAGCTGCTATCATGATAAATGTAAGGGGAGGTTCTGACTTTGGCCCAACGGACTCGGATTAACCGTTACTGTACCATTGATAAAAATGAATAAATAATCGTTGGTTTATGCAAATGTCTGAGTCCCACGAGCCAGCCACAAGTCAGCATCCAACCTGTGGGTCCAATCAGAAAGTCTTAACTCTCTCTCATCCTATTGGCCGAATCATTAGCCAATCCCAAAGCTGGCTATTACTACCTCGACTAAACAAGCGAAGCACATTAGAGTTTATTCATGTTAACCAGACACAACAAATGTCTGGACTAATCGAGACAGTCTAATGTAACAATAGATGTTAACTAGAGTAGGATGTCGTAGACTTAGTTTTTAATCCTGTTATTTTATTTGAATGTCAGATATTTTTATTCATTGGATGAGAAGAGAGAAAACAAACCAATGACACCCCCCTTGTAGTGTATTACTCAGGAAGGAAGCCAGTCGCCCAGCAGGTCCTGAATATCTGATGCACTGACTGTGCACCACTTTGGTCACCCATACACCCAAAAGACCAAATTTTCTGGTCACGTACCTCTGGTTCCTTTGAATTATAGATTCTCTCCCACGTTTTCAACCCATGTATACACTCTGCTCTCTAAGTTTTTCTCTCTTGCAGGCCACTCTGAGCACTTTATTGCACCAGGAAAGAGACAACAATCTTCTGTCAGCCAGCGCCGACCAACCAACCAATAAAGCTTAAACACAACGGTAGAACCTTTTAGGTTTTTAGATTCAGATTTAGATTCTCCAACTACTAGTGATGCGCTTTTAAAGAGATGCAAAGAGTTGTGGACCAAAGCTTTTAACATTTACTGGAATAAAAAACAACTTTATTTATCATTTTGAGATTGAAGAACTTTAAGACATACAGACTTTAAATCCTCAACTATCCTTCCACAGGTCTCCATAAAACCAGCTGAACCTGTGCTTTAACAAATATATTCTATAATTAGGAGAAATTTTTTAATTTTCTTGTTTATAAACTCATTCTTTTAAGCTTTGGACTCAAACTCTTTGAGTGTTGAATGCAGCACAAGGCTGGTTGTTGAAACTAGACACACTGAAGTGTTGAAAAGTGGCACGAGTGTTAATAGCAGCCCGTCTTGTGTCATCTCATTAAGAGTGCAGAATTAATAGAGTTGCATTAGGTAGCTGATTGAGCTACTTGATCACTATTTGTAGTTTTTGTATTTAAAGCTGCTGCTTGATCCAGACAAAATCAGCGCCCTCTAGTGTCCAGCCTTTATGCAACAGCGCCCTCTTCAGGGACTGAACCAAACTGTAGCCAAATCTCCTGAGAGACAGTCTGAAGGCTAAAACAATACATTTTATAATCTCATATGGTGAATCTTTCATTTTTTGTCTGTACTTTCCTTCCATGGTGAGTCACAGCAGCATCTATCAACTATCGTGATAAAAAGAATTCAATCTGCTGAACTTGTTCCCCAGTATAAACCTTGTTTACAGGGACAGTTTGGCCCAAAGGTAAATTTATGTATTTTCCCAATTTTTTTGTATTCATTCCTATCCAACTGGATTGTGTTGAACTGGTGTGTGAATTGCCCAGTTCTGGAGAAATCAGCTACAGCGATGCCTGTGTTCTCTTTAATATAATGTAAGTAAATGGCAATTTCTGCTTGGGGTGTTTAAAGTGCCAAAATGTGAAAAAGACGGCAGCAGTTTCTCTTTCCAGAAATTGTGACCTGTTTATTCAAAAAATAAAAAATTTAAAAATCCACAAACCTTACAGTGAGCCATTTCATGCAGGAACTCTTTAGTTCGTACCGATCCGCAATTTTGAAAAATGTCCATGTGCAGAAGAAAGCAACCATGTGCGTGTGATGAAAGGCTCTTGCTGGTGGGAGATTGAATGGATGTCCCTCATTTGACCTGTAACATCAGGTAGCTGCACAGGTGCGAGGGTGTCTTTTGGTTTGAAGAAGATATTTCCTGCATGAAACTGCTCACAAAAATGTTGGTGGATGTTTTTTGATTAACAGCTTCACAATTTTTGAAAGAGGCATTGCTGCAGAATATTTCAGATGTAATTTTTGCTGCTTTGAGCTCTTCATAGTAAATGCCATTCAGTTCTATTCCATTAAATAGAACGGTGACATTTCCACATCCAAAAACTTCAAAAATGAGTGTCTCACAAAAAAACCCCATAGAAAACTGTGTAAATTTGATATTAATGTAAATTCTTATTTAAGTTGCTGGATACAAACTAAACATTTACAGCTTGATAGATGGATTGGATGTGTTTATGCTAGTCTTGTTTCTTGTCATTTTATCATCGCAATGATGCAGTCTTGTGTTCTATAGCAAACTATAACATTTCAAATCATAAAACAGATTGAAAAGACTCTTCTAACTGATTAGAAAAGTCTTTGATGATGTTAGAAAGATCTTCAAAATATCTTGTAGCATTACTCGGCAAACTACTAAATCTGAAAACACTGAATTCCTCTCAAAAAGTAAAGACAAAAAGTGAGAAAAAAGATTCGCCCTCCCATCATCTTTTAAGTCTGTAGCTCTCTGTAGCCCCAAAAGAAAGATGATTGGCTCATTTAAAAAAAAATTATTGTAATAATAATAATAATAATCTTTGATCTTATAATGAGGTTAGCAGCCTGGTTCTCAGTCCTAAGGTACTTTGAACTATTTTTCTGTTTCATACTTGTTTTTGAACAGAGTTGTTTCCTTAAATGGTTTCCTTTCCTGCACCAGAGGGCTTGCAGCGGGTATGAGAAGGCTGGCCAGGCTCTGACCACAAATATTAGTGATAGGAACTTAAAAAATGTATAAGGAAGTTGGAAAAATGTGTAGAATCAATCTCTTATTTCAGGGGAAAACCCGGGCTGGCTGACAATACAAAATAAGACAGGAGGAGAAAGAGGGAAAAGTCATTTGGAGGCTGACAGGAAGAACAGATCACACATTTCTACACAGCTGCTAATACCCTAGCGCTGCCTACATCTAAAGACTGGTGTGTTTACATGCAGTTGTACTTGTTCACCAGTGTTTGTGAGCTTTTCTTTAACTCTCAATTCTATTTATTTATGTTTCTTTTTAAAATTCAGTTCGATTTGAGTCACATAAAAGAGAGATATTAAACCAATCAATGCTCAGATCACATAGTTTTTGTTGCTTTAATCCATCGTGGAGATACTGAAAGTGTTAGGAGATCACTGTGTGTGTGTGCGTGCGTGTGTGCAGTTAATGTACACCCACCTGCCCTGGGAAAGACCTCCAGCTGTCTAGACAAAAACTAAACACATAAAGGCACACACAGAGCAGACTAAACAAACTCACCGAAGAACCAAACGCCTCACACACACACAGACACACACACACACACAATAAACACACACGCACACACACTGAGGTTTTTGTTATTGCGGACCACACAAGGTAGCAAAAACATTTATTTCACACACCTTGATTGCCTCTCCCCTCCCTCTCCCTCTTCCTGTCTGAACGAGCTCTTCCTGTTCCCTAGAGATGGCCGCTGTCCAATGACAGAGCTCCTTTCAGAACCGGCCCTCGCTGCCGCTGGGTCAGCGGTCTTTGAGTCTCCTTGGAAACGTTCGTTGTTTGTTATTGTTGCTATGTCGTACAAGTGTGCCTGCCTGCGCTGAGACGGGCAAAATGTGAGTGGCTAGTTTGGGCTGTCAATCATCCCAGGCCACACTGTCTCAGATGATGACGATGAATAGATGATGGTGATGAGATTGTTGCTGTTGGTGATGATGATGATGGTGATGAAGATAGATGTTTTTGGTAGTGACACCGCAAAGATCGTTGCAATACACCTACTATTTGCCTTTTTGATTATATTAGTCATATTTTAACGTAGTGTGCTAAATGTCAGTTTTTTTTATTGTTGTTGTTGTTGTTGTTGTTGTTGTTGCTGATGATGTTTATTCACTTGAGAACAAAAAGATTTAACTTCAATTCAAAAGTTCATATCATTAAAAAATGTGTTTGGTTTTTTTTTTTCATTTGTAAACATCGAGAGTGTAAAACTACCTAACACACAAAAACTGCAGATTTCTGGGGAGGATGTGTAAATACAAGAAAATGTACTTCTGCTTTTAAGTGCCCTTTTTTAAAGTTTAAAGTTGTCAGTGTGCAGCTGTCTGAAGAGCAAATCGGTGCGATTGGTGCGGGGATCGACGCCACAGATCCCCATCAACATCCCTTGAGATGAGCTTATGTTAAAGCTAGCTAAAGTTCCCTTTTATTGGAACCTTTTTGAGCACATTTGTATCACGCACTTATAAGTTCCAAGTATAAATCTTCATGTAAGCACCTAGTCCTCGTAACCCACTAATCATTGCGTCTCCTTACTCGACCCAGTGTCTAGATGTGTGCCTTCTGGTGTCCAGCATGATCGGAGACTTACACTTAAAAAAATCCTTTACTGTTGCCTTTCAACGTAAAACCTCGGACAGCACAAAATCTTAACACGTTACAGCCGTGACGTATGGAAGCCCAGTCAGGCCAAGAAAAAAAAATGGAGGGGAAAAAAAACAGTCAGTGTTTCTAAGCTAAAATGGACCAAAAGTCCTTAAAATACTACAAACAAATAACATGTGGAAAAGCAGATATCTGCAAATCCTGTGTGGTTGCTTCTATTGTTTTTATGTTATCATTCCAACTTCTCTTCCCTTTTCTTTTTCCTGGTAAAGCTGGACTTCTATAATCACGACATTAGAAGCTAAATTTGTGAAAACAAATTACTGTTGCTATTGCTGCTCTATATGTTTGGAACTATAACTAAAAACAGCTGAAATTAATGCTTTTCTTCAGAAATTTAATGAGACGCAGTATTTGCTTTTAACATTTCTGACTGCTTGCAAAGAATCACACACCACACAGTCCAGATTCATATGTGACATTATTTAAGACATCTCCAAAGACGAAACCACTGTAAAGAAAAAAACGTTCAGTCAAGCTTGAACTTTTTGTTTTCGATTTTGGGGAAAAATCTTTTTTTTTCCTCCAGTTTTTGCTACATGTTTGATCAGTTTTAAAAGAAAGGATGATTTAAGTAACACAAGTAGACTGGCGGACGGCATACAAGCAAACCATTTTCTCCCTTCATATTTCTGTATCATCGCATTTTTCTCTGCTTGCTCTGCTCTTTTAATCAGCGCTGTGTGGCGCCTTTCCTCTGACAATGTCGAAGAAAAAGTATACAAAAGCACTCTTGTTCGCAGTTATGTTATGTGTTCATATTTAAATAAGCCTCTGTATCTTACACCGCAGTGACTATTGTAGAAGTCTTCCACCTGTCCTTGAGTTTTATCCTGCAAGCATGTAAACTGTGGGGCTTGTACAATAGACCAGTTTGTTCTGGTAAGGATTCCTACGTGCAGCTGGTGCAGATGTTTTAGAAAAGCATGATAAAATGCTGCGATTGTGTCCAGGGAAGTAAAACTGCACACAAGTAATCAGCAGCTTTGGAGTGAAATCTTCACTCAGGACCAGATGTCAGATAAAAATGTGGGAACTCCGATCTGTTCTCTGCAATGCTGGGTTTCCCATCACTCAAACGTAGCACCGGGTTCATAAAAAGAATGAACATGGAGCTGAGGGTTTAACTTCAATCTGTTATCTGTCACAGCATGGCTCATGCACTTATATAGAGGCCTGCTTATTCTCAGTGATAATAACTGCTTATTTGTGTATTAAGACAGTTTATTTTAATTTATATTGGATGGTCTATGTGTTGCTGGGTTTGCTATGTTGTTATTTTCTTTTCTGTTACAAACACAAGACAATGGTTTATTGTTGTTGTCACAGAACATGAATCAGACACATTTCAGTTAGCCTTCGATTTAAAAAAACAAATAAAAAGTTTTATAAATTCACCCGAGTCTCGTCTGCTTATTTATTTTGTATTTAGTAATTGTTGGAGGCTTTCCTTTTTTTGTTTTTGCAAGAAAGGAGCCTTTGACACACATTCATTCATCCACCACACAGACACACACACACATGCGCAGACACTTTGTACACATACAAGATTTGGTTTGTATGCACATTTCAAAAAGCTGCTGGTACATCCCTTAGATTAGCTCCTGTTCCATGCTGATGTGATAGCATCATGCAGCAGATCTGTTGACTGTACTTTGATTCAGGCTGAAGCATTGATCTGACAGAAGGTACTCTGCAACATGGATGATTGGTTTTGTGATATTTAAACTCAAATATGACCCTACTGTCATCATGTGGCATCCAAATTATCATAACTTTTAAATGTTGTGTGACTCTTGAAACACATTTTATTTTCATCTGCAGAGTTAAGTTGCTGTAAATATTTATCCAGCAGATGGCGCACTTGAATTAGAGTTCAAGGCTCAATGGCCACATCATGGTTATGATTGTTAGATTTACTTCATTTCTAGTTATTAGTGTTTAACGGGTCAGTGTTCACTGATCTGGTCCACCAGGGAGACTCAGGCCTTTTGATTGTGTTGTTTGTATTTGTTGAAAATACATGAAAGCACAGAAAGGAGGAAGTGTGTCAGACTTTTTGTAAAAATGTTATTTTTTGGACTTTGCATATTAGTAAAAACGTGAGATACTCTGAACATGCTGTGTCTGCTGCATGATGGCACTGTGAAAATATGTTGTAAATAAAATGCCTGTGCAGGTTTTAAGACAGTTTAACGGTTGGGTTTCCTCACTTTGGTGCTCTGCTGTTTTACATTCACTATCCTTGCTATTAAGGTTTTCATTTGGGTCTTTTAAATTAAGCTGCAGAAAGCGCCCTGAGTGTTTTGGCTGGAAATGTGTTTGTCTGTTTTCAGTTTTTAAAAAGTACCAGTGTCAGGATCACCAAAGCCAGGAAGGCCTGATGGCGGATGAGAATTCCCTGCGGAAGACCACCTTGCCTGTTGAGGTGGCTCCGACGGGCCTTTTGCACTCTCCATTATAAAGAAAACAAAAACATGACAAAACAAGTAAACAAACAAAATATGCATTCATTCCTCAAATTAACTTGAGCCCCTAAATTAACTTGAAGGCTCAAAATGAACATTTTTGTCATTGCCATCTTGATGTTTTAAAACCAAATGCACAACTGAATATCTTTTTGCAACCTGAAAAGTGATCCTTGCTGACCAATAGAAAGAATGCAGTTTTAAGGCATCCACCATGCATGGTTAGACTATAAACATTTGTAATTATTTACAATGTCATCAATTATTCAGACATTTATGTAATACAAGTAGCAATAACACACATTCAGAAACGCCTGTCTACAAGTAAGACACGCTTTGAGACTTGATCTCAAAAACTGTGAGACTTGACATGAACATATCTGTATTTACATGCTTCACCTGTGCATGTTTGAAATTAATTTAAAAAAATGTTTGGATAAAACATTTCAAAAAATTTTTATTTAAATTGTGTAATGTGAAACCACTGCAGAGGTACCTTAAATCTGCATTCATTTCTGTTAGGCCCTGTTAGTACTCTTGTGGCATTGTGTATTAACTGAAGGCTTTTAGAACAGCAAGATAGGAAGGGGTTACAATTGTCCAGCCTTGAAGTGACAAATGCATGGATCAATTTTCCAATGTCACTCTTGGACAGGATGTTTCTAAGTTTTTGAACATTGCTCTAATGATAGAAAGCAATCTTACATATTTCCTTGAAGGACATATCCTGGTCAAAACTGATGAGAAAATACTCCTCACAGTTTTACTGACGAATAAGGTAATGTCATCTAGGGTGAGCATTTGGTTGGACACCATGTTTCTAAGATTTCATGGCCAAATACAATAACCTAGACTGATTTGATGCTTGAATTTATCTGAATTTAATTAAGACCCACTTGGTCTTGTTGTTTGAAAGCCTAACTTAGATGCACAGGAGGACTTGAGACTTGATTGGGTGAGGCTAAAATGAGGGTAAACTTGAAAATGCACTAAACTTGTCACAGTCGACATTAAAGGCTCAGCTCTGCCCTTTGATCTGTGGCTGTCAGCTGTCAGCCTCTTGATCATTGAGTGACTTCCAGCCTGATGAACCTGAACCAGTTACTGAACAGATTCCAATGACTCAACAACTTACATTAGATTACACTCTTTTCTGTTCCTGCCAAGTTTCTACATCAGCTCTCACTTCATACTGCAGGGTCATCCATTCTCCTATCTCTCTTTCTCTTTCTCCTATCTGTCTTGCTACACACTTGGCAGTCAGCCTACTGAACAAACACTATTCAGTTTGTTTTATGGCCTACGAGAGCAGAAAAAGGTTGAATGAGTTACGGGTGCATCGTAAAATGAAGATGGAACAATGAATGAGGTGATGAAGAAATGAGGGTTGATTACTGAAAGTCATTCCAGGGATCATGTAAGGATCATTTGAGTGAATTCACAAAACTATTTTCTCCTTTCTTCTTTCGTCGTTTATAGCAAGTCATTTAAAAAAACATCAAAGATCAATTTCTGACAGGAGGCATAAATTTATTTTTGATCTTTCTCCTGTTTTTTCTTTTTTTCCCTATGGTACAACTTGTCGAACGAGGGTGGAAAAAGCAGCAGAGTTGCAGTGATGTGAAAAAGGGAAAAGCTGCACTATATTCTTATACCAACTTATTTGAACTTATTTAGGCACTTTAACACCTCAACAAAGAAACTTTGAAATCTGTGTGCAGAATTTAGCAGAAGGGAGTTCAAGTTGTCAACTTTGCCTTGGCATCCTCTCGTTTATGTTCAAAAGACTAATGTAGCTTATTAAATGATCTGGATGCTGTTCATAAAATTAAGTTGATATTTTCAGCCTATTTCCATTCAACTGTTGTCCAGCTTTGCTCACTCTGACACAATTTACTATTTGTAGCTGTAGCTTATTTGCTACAAGGTCTGATGTCGATGTCGAGGTGTGGAGATGCTCTTCTGTGTATCCTGGTTTTTACAAGTGGTTAGATAGCATCTACAGATGCTGTCAATGCAGAAATTAACTACTGAATTCACTATAAAGGACCACTGAAAAGAATTAAAGCTGTCACAAATTATGAGGCTTAAAAGACATCCTTGGGTCTGAGGGTTAAAGAAATGACTCACACACAATGCCTGGAAGGCATGAACTGAAATTTAAAGTACTGTACTGTAAAACATGATATCTTGAACCAAGAAAACAGCATTTGAATACCTTATCGTCATCCATCTAAGCAAATCAAATTTTCATGATGGAGTCTACAAATGAAACTGGGGAGGTATTGTGGGCAGATGTTGCATGCGAACTGGACATTTCAGCAAAACGTAGAGTCATCGGAATTCCCTGTGAGCACGGACCAATCACTGCGCAGAGGCATTCCTGCTGACGTCTAACAGAGAGGGTGAGTGGCCCAGCAGTGATGTCACTGTGTCATCTGTGCAGCCACCAAACAAGAACACACACAAAACTGATAAGGCCTCACCTCCGCTCTGATGCTGCTACTTGTCATTGTGTAACTGTATTTTTTGTCACTCTGGCTCAGTTTCTATCACATTTTTAATGTTTTCTATTTGGTATATCCATTAACATTGGACAATTGATAAATATTTTTATTGTTATTTATATTTTATATACAGATCCTGTGGTTAAAAAGGGAAGTTTAATTCTGTTTTTCAAAACCTAATATTTTCAATATGCTGTAACAGCCCAAAGCAGACTGAAGACACGGGAGTATAAAGATACATACTGATCTAGATCACTAAATCTTTTTAGCAGACACTTACTGGAGGGAAAATCCTGTGTGTGTGTGTGTGTGTGTGTGTGTGTGTGTGTGTGTGTGTGTGTGTGTGTTTGCACGCGTGTGTGTTTTCATATCCTTGAGGGGACATCTAATTGATATAATGCTTTCACTAGCTGTTCACCCTAACCCTATCTATAACTCTATGACTACTGCAACCCTGACACTAAAGCCACATTTTGAGTCTCAAAAATGTCTTCAAACTAGCGGGGATGTGGATTTTGTCCCCATAAGGATTGTTATTCCCCACAAGTATAGTAAACTTTCAATTGTTTCATCCCCACAAAGATATAAAAACATAGCATGGGCACACACCCGACTGTGTGTTTGTGTGCTTGCAGCAATCAGTTCAACGGAGCTATTTATGTCTTGTTTTTGGACATGTATGGAGCTTGTCAGTACAGAGGAATAAGGTAAAAACTTCCAGCAGGTGAACTGAACAGAACTGATCCTCATTATGACATATTAGCTAGAAAGACAATTAATGTGAATATCACTATGACACTAACCACCACCCTACATTTGATTGCACACGAAGTCTACTGACATCGGCCTCTCCCAGCAGGACAGTGTGCCCTGACACACTATAAATAAATAAATAAATAAATAAATAAATACGTAAGTACTCCTTAGTGAATTTTCGGACCTGGAAATTTTTTCCTGAGCCTGGTTCTGCCAGAGGTTTCTTCCTGTTAAAAGGGAGTTTTTCCTTCCCACTGTCACCAAAGTGCTTGTTCATGGGGGTCATATGATTGGTTTGTTGGGTTTTTCTCTGTATGTATAATTATAGGGTCTACCTTACAATGTAAAGTGCCTTGAGGTGACTGTTGTTGTGATTTGGCGCTTTATATAAATAAAATTGAATTGAAATGAATTAAATACTGCTTTTCACTACCATATACATTTACCTTATTCTGTGAACTTCATCTGCCCACATCCATCAGTGAGCCTAAAATATGTTGTTGGCTTGTGGAGAGAAAATTAAAAGTGAAACCCAGAACCTTCATGAACCTTCTTGATGGGAGGTGACAGGGTTAGGCATCATTCCATCATGAAACCCAGTGAGTCTAACTGTGGGTCTTAGTTCAGATGTGAAGCAAAGTTTCAAACTCTTTTCTTTGTTTTTCT